AAAAATACAATACGAATAAGAGTTTTTATATCAGTTGTAAAATTCCCGATATAAATAAAATCCCATCAGCACAGTAAACTGAACTAACACAGGGCATAATATACGTAAAACATCATATCATTTATTCATAGAAGATAAAACACCCAACTTTGCTCATCATAACAAGATACATATAAGTGCATCAAAATACCATACAAAAGCAGCAGTTACTCCCAAATCAATCTTAACGGTACAATAGTACTCGAGCGCATATCCAGTTTAATTTTACTGCTCTTACGTTTAATTTCCATTTGCACACGTGAAGGCGTTGCAAACGGGAAGGTTGGAGATTTTGATTGTGGCACAAAGACCCGGATTGTTCAGAAAACTTCTGTTAAACGCCGCGTTATCAAACTTGTCGGGAACTTTTCCGGTGAGAAGATTTGAAGAAAGGTTTAGGAAAGTGAGCGTCAAGTTTCCTAACTGAGGTGGGATCTCACCCGAAAGTTGGTTATTCGACAAATCCAAACTTTTAAGTGCATGTAAAGAACCAAACTCAGGCGAAATCGAACCCGATAAATTATTCGAGGAAAGATTCAAATCTGTAAGCATGTTTAGGCTCGCCACTTCGGTAGGGATTGTGCCCGACAGCTTGTTGTTGGCTGCCTTGAACATACCCAAACTCGTCCACGACGAAACATTAGTCGGAATTTCACCGGTAAACTTGTTATCACTTACATCGATATAAAACATCTTCGGCCCAACTTTACTCGGGAGCTCGCCCAATAATCGATTCTTACCCACCGCCACACATAGCATCTCTGGCAATTCCCAAATGCCAGACGGAACTTCTCCCTTGAAGTTGTTATCGAACACCTGCAAGGTGGAAAGAGTTTGGCATTTTCCTAGTTGTTTCGGAATTTCGCCGCTCAGTTTGTTTTCAAAAGCAAACACATTCATTAAAGCATTACGGTAGCACAAATTTTCCGGCAGTTTTCCAGTGAAATGATTAGTACTAACATCGAAGATTAAGAGGTCCGAGTGTTTTCCCATTTCAACGGGTAGTTCTCCACTTAGATTATTCGTGAAAATTTGAAGATTTTTAAGGTTGGGAAGTCGGGCTATGCTCGGCGACAATTTGCCCGATAGTTTGTTGACAAAAAGATACAGAAGCTCCAACTTTTTGAGTTTCCCAAAATCTTCCGGGATCGGACCACTCAAGTAGTTCATGGATAGGTCGATTACCACCAAATCCATCGACTTGATAACTTGAGGAATTGGACCCGAAAGCCGGTTCATAAACAAATAAATGATGCTCAAATTTCTCAACGAGAAAAGACCGTTCGGGATTGTACCTTCGATATGGTTCATAGGCAAGTCCAAAAAGGTGAGCCTCGATAAATTCCTGAAGCTTTCGGGAATCTTCCCAATGATGTTCGCCTGCCTCATCCAGAAAAACTTCAGTTTCGTCAGTTTTCCGAAAGCCGAAGGTAAAGGCGTCCGCGTGAAGTTGTTGTTAGAAAGAAATATGTGCTCTAGGTTTGAAAGGTTCGAGATCTCCACCGGATAACTTGTGAACAAATTGTCGCACAAGAACAGGACACGGAGCTCCAGCAGGCTTCCGATCTCCCGCGGAATGTTGCCAGAGAAGTTGTTGTCGTTGAGGTAGAGGTACCTGAGAGATTTGAGCTGGTCGATTCCGGCCGGAATATTCCCCTCGAAGTGGTTTTGTGAGAGGTCCAAATACTCGAGCATCGAGCACTTGAGTACCGCAGTTGGGAATTTTCCCCTGAAATTATTGTTACCGAAATCGAGATGGTTTAGGTTGTGGAGGTGACCGATGGAGTCCGACACGGTGCCGGTGATGTAATAGTTGTTGATGTTGATTCCGGTGACGGCGCCAGCGGCGGAGCAGTTGATCTCCAGCCAGTGACAGGGAGATGACGTGGGGGTCCAGTGTTGGATGGCTGTGGTGTTGCCCCACGATTTTTTCATGTCTAGCAAGGCGGTTCTTTCGGCGGGAATGTATTTTGAATTTACGAAAAAGGACATGGATGAGAAAAGAAAGACGAGGAAGGGCAGCCGAGTATTCAAGTGGAAGAAGGGTAGTTTCGTCATTGTAGGGTTCGGTTGTTTGTTTGATGATTTAGTTATAAATCGAGTTTTTTTTTTTTTTTTTTTTTTTTTTTTTT